CGACGTTTTGGAAGCAACACAAGCCTCCGTCTTCAAGCACTTGATACAGCTGTCGTGGCTGTGACGGTTCCACCTGAAGACGGAGACTTGTGTTGCTTCCGAAACGTCGTGATTTTTTATTTTGTTTTATTTTACTTTTATTAATTTACATTTTTTACCTACCTGGTGACTTTACCGAAAAAACCTAAGAATATAAACCCAAAGGTGCCGTGCGGAAGAGAGGGAGGGAGGGAGGGAGGGAGGGACCTCCCGTGAACCGCGGCCCCATTCCGTTCAGGGCTGTTTTCCCCGATCGTTCCGAGGCCCCCCTTTGGGATCAGTGCCTAGCAGGCGCAAGCGGACCTGACAGGTCATAAAGCTGAAATGGACAACATTATCTCCTAGAAATCACCGGCTCAGGGTGAAACATGGAAACAAAGCTGGAAGCAATTTCAGCTCTGGGAAGATTCAATTTCTCCGCTCATATGAAACACAAATATGCTGTTATCTGCTGCCTTGTTGACGCTACAAGCCATGCACGAATCTGCCCGCAAATCCTCTGGACTAAGGAGTAATTTAGCTTCTAAGAGTTGGCAATAATGAAACTGTCCTAGAAATAAAAGAATGAGATCTGAATCCGTTTCATGTGGGACAAGGTCACATAGAGCCGGACACAGGTTACCTTCAGAGATGGCTTGCCCGTGGGCTACAAGATAGACCCGGCTCCCTGGAGGGCACGTAGCATGGAGAATATGTCAACGTGAAATGCGCTTGAGATGTATCCGTGCAATAAATCCAACAGCATATTCAATTGTGTGTACATATTCCAATATTGGATGTGTCTATTGGATATGCCTTTGAGAAATTCTACGCGTGCGTATCTCAGGGGTAAAGCCATGGGCTCTATCTCTAACGAATCGTTTGTGACTTGCCCGTGCCGAACGGCACCTTTGTGAGCCGTGTGGGATACTGTGCGTGGACTATGCGAATGGGACTTTGTGTCTTATATGCTAAATATAAAATGCTAACTATTCTGTTGCCCATTTGTCAATCCGTTGCTAGATGAAGGCCTCCCCATGCTATGATGGTCATAGGGGATGTTTAGCCATACTTCCCTACACTGGTTAAAGCTGGTTGGGGTGATCAGGGCTGGTTGAGATATCACTCGTCACTAATGTTGGCTGGGAATTGAACTCATGGAAAACCATGTTCGGAGCACATTGCAAAAACCACATTGTTTAACATGGAGGCTTTCGCGACAAATATCATCCATATTACAGGTTCTTTTGGTTTAGATTGTGTAAATAAATAAATGTGTCATTAAACCCGCCACCACCGGACACAGCCATTTACAATCTGAGTACGACGTTTCATGAGTAATTACAACTGGCTTCATCAGGCTTACTGGTGCAATGTAACGCAAAAAAAACTGTACAGTAAAACCTTGGATTGCGAGCATAATTCGTTCCGGAAACGTGTTTGTAATCCAAAAGCACTTGTACATCAAAGCACTCGTAGATCAGTTGTGATCACGTGACGCTCGGCAGACAAAGCGTATACGTACTACTCGTTTTGCAAGACCTCGCTCGTTAATCAAATTCATATTTAATTTAAAAAATTTGCTCGTCTTGCAAAACACTCGCAGACCAAGTTACTCGCAATCCAAGATTTTACTATATTATGGAAAAACCACGTTGTCACTTAATCTTTCCTATTACACACACACACAGATAAAAATAACTGGTAAATTAATACATAATAATAGTGTGATGTTTTGGCTTTGGCTGGAAATAAATAAACAATGTGCCTTATCCATCTGGCCTTCTTTGTCACCATGTGTAATGATGATACCAAATAATAATTTACAGCCTCCCTGTCAATCCACTGATGGGTCCATCACGCAGCACGTGAACTACTGCTCCACCGTCCCCACTACATATACATATACTACGCATAAATTAGGTAGCACTACACTAACTGCCAATTAATCCACGAGCAGCAGCACATGCAAGCCCTGTATTTATGGCAGCCTCACCAGGCCAATAAACCCCATCTGCAACGCCCCGTCGGATTACAGCGCGGCCACCGTTTATAAGCGAATGTACGGCTCGAAAATAAAAATAGGGGACGTGTCAAAATAAATACAAACATCGCAAAATGTGCATCACTGCGCCGCCACGGTGGAATGGTAGTGAGGTTTTTTTTAGTTTTTTTTTCGTTTTTTTCGCTTCTCGATGCCACGAACTGTTGAAACTTTCCATTTCAAAACGCTGATTCTTGCTCCCTGCAATATAAACGCGCAGGCTCTCGCGACAAGCAAATTGCACATGAGATGCGAGTTTAATAAGTAATGATAAAAGACATCCCTGCGCATGGCTACTGTACACTCCTTTGTGGGCCACATACTTTTGACTAAAATATCCCAGTGAACGGCTCCTTTTTTGAAAATCAAAAGCGTCTTTGCAATTTCGGAGAAACCTTCGTCGGTTTTTTCTTTTCATATCGATAGACGGCGCATGACGACGCCGCTTTTGTGCCAAGTGTACAAACGCACCGCAACTCAATCACCGCCGGCTTATTGCTTCGTGGCAAGAGAATCGCTGTGGGATTCCCGATGCCGCAACCTGTCGGAGAGGAGTTGCAGGATTTCTAAGCCGGCAAGACGACTCGAGGAATTCTAGGCGTGTGTCTCCGTGCGATTGAAATGTAAAGTATCGACGTGTGTGATGTAATGACCAGATCTTCAAACGACTGAGATGCATCGGACGAGCGGCGCGCAGTGCTGCCTGCTATCGATGTTTACGATCCCTGCCACCCTGTGTCTCCATCAGGCACTTGCTATTCAAAATGAAGGGCTTCCACTGATATATTTATCGACAAAGACACACCGTAGAACCTTGACATGATTTAACAGGGTGTCCCTATACACATTTTTCCTTTTCATAAAGAAACATTTTTTGGAATGAAAAAAATATGACCGTTCAAAATAAATTAGAATCGATGGCATTCATTACCATTACAATCATTACAGTTTCAATAATTGACTTGATTATAATTACAATATGGGTGCAGTGGGTGGCATCCAGCGATCTGCATTCAGTTTAAGGACACATCGGTGGCGAGTGATATCGGAAACGGTCCTGGGACTCCCCACCCAACTTCACCAACCAGTTATTGACCAGCGTGGTGAAGTACGGTCAAACGAGCCCCTTGACTGACACAGCATGGGGAGGCCTTCATATAGTGGGGAATTGACAAGGGCTGAAAAAAAACATAATACAGAGTAGAGTGGCAATAATACCTCTCCTTGGTAGTCTTTGTTTGAGATTAGATAGCTTATGTGACACCTACTAGGCGTGCCTGAGTATTACCCAGAGACACAATAAACTATGGTTGTCATTCTCCCTACATCCACACTCGTTTCGATTATCTCTTTGTTACGATGTTATCCACATATGGTCATATCAAGAATATAAAATGCCCTTTATTTACCCTGTAGAGTTACTGTTTGGTTATTTCGGTAAAGTCACGTGGAAAATAAAATAAAAATCGAATACGACGTTTCGGTTGCAACACAAGCAACCATCATCAGGTAAGAATGAATGATAAAACACAGACACGGAAACAACACAGGCAGACACACATGCAGAGAGAGACACACACAAAGACACACCGAGCGTGACACACATCAAGGAAACACAAACACGGAAACAACATAGGAAGACAACATGCAGAGAGAGAGACACGCACACAGACACACACCAAGACAAACAGGAAGAGGTTAATTTAGTATCGAAACAGTTTTTTTTTTTATGAAGCCCCTGCAATGGGATGTTTGACCGGTTACGTGAATGGGCGATTGGAATGTGGGAATTAACTGTGGTACTTGAAGACAAAGATCCAAACGGATAGATTCAATAATCAATTGCTGTACTGTCATCTCGTGGCCACTGTGCAGTGCAAACTTACAGGACAGGGTATTCCCAGGAAGTCTCCATATCAAAGCACCAACCAGTCTCAACTCTGCTTAGCTTCAGTGATGCGACACGATTCGGAACATTCAGGGTGATGCGTTGGAAGGCAACGTTTGCAGTTTGCAATCATGACCAGATCGCCAAAAATAAGCCTGCTCTCAATCTTTATTTCACGCGGCAAATATCACCTTCAATAAAGTAGGCATCGGTTCTCGTTACAACGAAACGGGAACGGCACACAGGGGGGCTTAGAGCAACAGCAGTGACACAATAAGAAACCCAGTTTAACACGTAGTAGGATTTTGCGACCAATATCATCCATAATACACGTTTTTTTTGGGTTAGATCGCGTAAATATATGAATGTGTCTTTAAACCCGCCACCACCCGACACAGCCAATTAGTGAGGTTTGTCACGTACACAGAACGTGCCAATTCATTACTAGTACAGCGCACCTGTGTGTTGGAGAGCCAAGCCACAACATTTACAATCTGAGTGCAACGTTTCGCCAGTAACTACAACGAGCTTCATCAGGCGCCAGCCAGATTTGTGGAGAAGTCCACCTGCCATCACATCTACTGCACGGGGCAGGGAGGTCTCCTCATCCGGTCGTGGGATTAAAAAGGGCGTGGTACATTTCGCACACACTTAATGCAGCGTGAATTAGTGACGGAGGGAGATTATAAAGGTGCAGCCCTTGCAATTACCTGCTCATGCCAGTGCTGGCAGAAATGCCTCCACGAGTGAGCTCTCCCTGGACAGCCCCTCACAAAGGGGATCTTAACCGACTTTTCCACACTGGCCCAATGCCTCGGAAGAGGTGGGAGTGCCCTCCACTTTACCCCACCACACATAACCTGCCGATTGACCCATTTATATTCCTGGGCGGACAGGGGCGGGGGGACGTGAGACACTCGCCACATTGCTTCGACCCCTTGCCGGCAATTCGCAACCGTCGACCTCTGGGTCGCAAGTCCGGTGCATGAACCGCCGCACCACGGCAGCGTCGCGTTGAATGAATGCATGAATAAGTGATGGTCGTCTCACCAGAACACGACGATTCTGTTGTTCCCTCTCCTCCAAAAGCAGCGGAGCGACTTTGCCCAGGCAGGGTACTTAGTGTCCTGAAGCATCATATCGGTGACCTGTGGGGGAAGGCCCAAGGGCAGGTCCAGGAAACCATGTGAGCGGAAAGCATCAAGGACAAAGATCCCCCATATGGCCTTAACAGACTGTTGAGTCAAGTGCTGTTTAGTGAGCACCTAATTAAGGCTGGAACAGCACACAAAGGAGTGGCCAGGTTAGCACCACGCCTGGCCGCCTTTGTCTCCCTCGTGGCCATGTTCAACCATTGTACCAGGCACTCACTTGAGGCTGAGTCAACGTAGGGGAGGCCCAGGACCGGTTCAGATAATCGTCACTGGTATTGGAAGTGAGCGTGAATCGAACTCTGGCTGCCAGATTCATAGCGCAGTGAGCTAGCCGCGACACACACGCACACGCGGGATGACTTTACAAGCACACATTTGTATTCATTTTCAGGCCGCAGTAGCTCCAGTGAATTCTAGATTGAAGCTTGGTTCTAGATTTGAAGCTTTCGTGACTGCAAGGATTCATATTCTTAGGTTTTTTCGGTAAAGTCACGTAGGTAAAAAATTAAAACCCTGAGCTTGTCACTGGCCGAAATAACTTCCACGATCAATAACGAAGGAATAACTAAATGAAACAAATAAATGAAACAAAAGTTATGAAGTGCCATCTTTGTGGGTTTTATAGAATATTTCTGAACTAAACTGTTAGGCCCCATGGTGTCAGATCAGAATAAGAATATTTATACTGGAGGAATCCGATGTAGCTATGAAGCTCTTTTTCACTAGATGTCCAGTAGGGGCAGGTAAGAATGTTGCAACACCAAACAGTACAAAAACACGATGGTAGTGAGAACTACAAGAAAGGTAAACAAATCAACCTGAACACACACAAATAAAACTAAACCATCCCCATCCTACCAAGCAAAGCCCACTGAATGTATCAACTTATTTTTCAGACATGACCTGGCCACAAATGATAGCTCAAGTGGCCCATCACTTGGACATTGATGGCACCAACATAATCAAGAAAATAAGTTTGCAGGTAGCCCACATCTTGCTTGGTGAGACTCAGGCAAGTCGAAAATCGGGCCAGAGTTTTGCCTGCGTCAACAAAAGCTGCTGACAAAACAAATGTGGCCCCTTTTGTTTTAATTGTGATTGGTGAGGCAGAACCTCCTTCACAGTTTGTGTACGAATGTTCAAAAAAAGTCTTAAGATCTGTTTTGGCCCATCTGCACGATGATTGCAATGACAACCCTTTCCCGACTCTGATAGGGTATTTTCAAACAACATCACATTGGTTAGGCTATGGTAATAAATCACGAACGCATTTAAAATCACGATCGTGCCAATTATTGATCTAGGTAAGCCCCATTGAGTCTCAAGCCACTATTTCAGAATGGTTATGTTTTCAGATGCCTGGCCAATACCATTATTGAGTATTTAAAACGAAAACTAAATTTAATTTTATTTCACCAGGTAAAGCCCACTGAGCTACTTCGCTCTTTTTCAGAAGCAACCTAGCTACAAATGATAGCTCAACCAAGTGGCTTATCACGTGGAAATGTATAGCAGCCAAATACTCGAAACATGTTTCTAAATGTCGAGGGAAAAACCGGAGAACCCAGAGAAAAATCCACGAGACCACGGGGAGAACATGCAAACTCCAAATATACAGGCGTCGGGGTCAGGATCAAACCCACGACCTCCTGTTTACTAGGCGAGGTAGTTAACATCTCGCCACCATGGGAGAAAACTACGGTGCCTGGATAAAACCCACACGAACGAGGAGGTGGCACTCAACATGGCCATCTCAAGGCCACCTCACAGCCTCACGCCTACAACCCCTGGCAAGCCATCATGATCTCCTTTCCAAGTACTAAACTGGGCTCAATTACGCTTAGATTTTAAAACCCGAAAAGATAGGCTGCATTTATGGTGGGTGATTTGGTCACATGGCACTCGAGACAATAATGTTCTTAGAATCTCTGTGACTGGCCTCTCTTAGCCACATTCATCGCGAGCTTTGACCTTCTGACACGAAGAACAATCCCAGGGTGAGACATCGCCATCCGTGAAAACTGGCGAATCGGTTGACGAGATGCTTCAGGTGAGAATTCGTAGCGATGGCGCGCTGACGACAAAGCACTCCGACCTTGGCCTCTGATTTTTTTTTTTTAGCCCCAAAAGCAATCCTGGGTGAGTTATTGTAGCCAGAGACCATTCCTGAGAGCCATGTCAGTCCTGGTACAGCGATTAAGCGGCTATCGTAAGGACAGTAAAACAAACTGGGGCGTGGGGGTGGGGGTGAGTAACTTAACAATCACGTAACCTTGACTACAACACTCCTCCACTTCACCTGTGGCAAAGACTTAAGCCGAAGAAACAGGGAATTGTTGTTGATGTTGTTATTTTTTTTTCTTGTGAAGTTGCATGAAGATGGAGCTCTATAAGTAACGTGCACTCTGGTACAGAAAAACGGAGGGTACGTTTAAGAACTTGAGAAGACATGATCCATTTTTTTTTGGGCTTTCAAAACGGGGTTGTGACATGCTCCTGCCGATGTTTTTCTCGTCTGTCGGCGTTGTGAATAAGTGAGTTGCACTGCATTTATTTGTGTGTACATATCAACACATTCCTGCGGAGGGAGCTGGTAGGAACGTTGGGTTGCTCGGTCAATAGCCTGGGTCAACGGCGGCGTGGTGTATTCCGCAAATATGGCCGACTGTAAGGGCGGGCACAAGCCGGCGTGAGTAGGTTAAACGTTGAGTTTTATAAGGGCACCACGGGGTGACCAGCCCCTCCCCACCCAGCCCCACCCCTCCCACCCCCCACCCAGCCTCACCCTCCCCACCCAGCCCCTCTCTCCCCTCCCAACACTGCCCCTCCCTACCCTCCCCTCTCCACCCAGCCCCAACCAGCCCCACCCCTCCCATTTTTGGATGCAAGACAGACGGACGGACACAATAATCCCATGTGGGCTGGTGTAACCAGGAGGTTCCTACCAGTAATACATACTTCAACACTGATTCACATTTATTCTCACCCAGGTGCCGCTGGCTATAGGGATTATTGCAACTCAGCGGGATCTCGTGTTGGGATCCGAATAAGGAAAGGAAACCACCTACGGAAATGCTACGACGTAGGTTCACAACCGTGAAGACCTACGCAAGTGGAATGCACCAACGATGAGCAGCGGTCTATTATAGAACTCTGCTGATGAGGCCCAGAAGGACAAAACCGGTCCAAAAAGTGTTTATTTAAAATTAAAATCTCTGGATAATATTTGTCTGGAGAGGCAATAGGTCGATGTATTGTTTGTAGATTGAGACTCAGAGCAGAGGTATCTTTACATATACACATATATTGTGGAGCTGTGCTTTTCTTCTACAGCTCTTCAGTGCGTATTCACGTTGTACCGCGTGTTTTTTTGGCACGGCGTCTGACGTTCCTCTCCGTGTGCTCGGAGCATCTTCAGCAACTGATTAGAATAGAACCGGGGAGCTTCTACGCACATGGCGGCAAGCAGCCCTCAGCAGCGCGCGGAGCGAAACGTCGGACATCGCGCCGAGAGACATTTGGCACGACCTTGAAAGCACGTCGGAGAAGATCCACCTGTGGAGCGGATCAACTTGTCCGTTGGGAAGCAGCACTCACCATCCAAGCCGTCACGGAGTCTCCCATCCACGTTCCCAGGGCGGCTCCTCTCATGAAGTTTTCATTCTTCAGTCCCATGTAATCGCTCACGATGTATTCCCTGGGACGCGGGCAGAGAAAACGGGGCCCGCAAGTCACCGTCGAGGCCCGCGGAACGACGCGGCTGTCGTTGCCGGTGCCCGCCTGCCCGCCCGCCTGCCCGCCCGCCTGCCCGCCCGCCCGTCGTGTCTGGCCGGCGCTCGCTTGCGCTGCCAGCCGTCCCGTCCGTCACGGACGGCGTCCGTCAACGTGAGCATCGTGGCCAGTCGGGGTAAGAAAAGGTGCATCCGCCGCGGCGATTTCGATGAGTGAACGAGCGCCCATCAGGCAGAGTGCTCTCGGGAGGAGAGCTGACACCCCTTGGATGGGTGTCAATTGTTTGGAGGCAACAAAAAAATTAAAGGACGTTAAAATTTAGTCGGCAAAAGTGCTGGGATTTATGCAACCGAGATGTACGTGTACAATGTATTGCGAAGCCATATCTACAATGTCAGGAATAAATAAATGATCAAATGCTTTTGTGTGTGTGGTATAGTACAATGCTATTTTTTATGAATCTGCCTAAAGCACTCCGCTGTTCTCACCTGGGTATGCAGTGTTTATTAAACATTAAACATTTAGGACATTTTTGACAAAGCTCAGTGCGAATATTTACCCCAGCTTCCAGCCTCGTTAGGAATTATATTCTCCTTGACATCGCCCACCAATTTTGGCATAAAGCTCCACCATAACCAAGGTTATTGGAAAACAATTATAAGTAGACAACGGTTGAAAAAGCATAAAACTATTGTGATGGAATATAGTCAGGTACAAGTGTCGAGGGAGGCACTAACGACACGGAAGAGATTGAAAAGTAAAATAAAAATGACAGTGGGCTGCATTGAAAAAAACAATTTAAGCAAGCGAAGAAAAACAAGAGCGAGCAGTGCAGGGCCCTGAACAGCGGTCAACATTACAATGACCTTGTGGCCAAGCATCATCTGCTTGGCCATGCCATTGTGAAGGCCAAGCTTGAGGATGCAGCCAACCGACTCCAAAGGTGAACCAGAGGTCGCAACCGGGTACCCAATACCCGGCTACCCGAACCCAGCCGGGTACGGGTACGGGTAAGGAATCAAAACCCGTTTGCGACCTCTGAGGTGAACGTTTTTACCAATCTACCCAGCTCCCTCCCTCCCTCCCTCCATGCATCGTCTCATCTCCCAGCTCCCACCACCACTCTCTTCCCACCACCAGGTGGAGCTGGCAGAAGAGAGCCCCTTTTCGTTACAATTTGTTTTCGGAAAGGAACAGGCGACTTAGGCTCTGACGAGTGTGACCGTGACCACGGTTGCCCGAACCCCCTATTCCCCTTAGCGCCGTCGTATCGCCAACTGCGGCGGTTTGGACAACCACGACGGCTTCCAGGAACGTGACCCCCGCGTTTGGCGAGGGGTAGTTGTGTATGTGTAGGGGTGTCACGGGAGGGAAACGGACAAGCACACAGGGGTGTCCACATCCACGTCCGCAAACGGTTAACACCCTGGGGGGCTGTGGGGGGATGCTGGGATCCCACACAGCCCCACCCCTCGGTGGGAAATTGGTATAAAAGGCGGGGAGCGAGAGGGCTCGTGGTTCAGTGTTGGGGAGCTAACGAGTGAAGAACCAGTGAAGTCTGAAGACCGGCAGATAGGCCCTGGAACTCCTCTGACTCGCCGCCCTTCTCAGGACTGAGCAGAGCAAGCCAGTGGCGCGGCCCCAGAGCCTCAGAGTTGATGTTCTTCTAAGAGCCGGGTCTGTCTGGCTGGGTGTCGTGACCTGTGCCTTGACCAGGGCCGGGTCAGATAGCCTCCCCTAGCACCCTTAGCGGAGGACCTGGGAGCAGACCGGTTGGGCAGAGAGCCTAGGGGTGTATCCCAGTCCAGTACGGGTGAAGGGGCCGTTACCCCTTCAAGTGTTGTATACGTTGCCCTGTGCTGAATGTAAAGTTATAATAAATAGTGTGCCTCGACTACACCGTCTCTGTCGCCTGTGAACCCACTACATATGTACATGTGTATATTGTTGCTACTGAGAGAGCACTGTCAGTAGAGACACAAGGATACGTTCAACGGTGTGGTCCGCACATCCATACAACGCTGTCTTGTTTGAAGACATTCTCACAGAGTGTGTGCCACGACCGTTGCACAACGGTCACGTGATTCATGACTAATGCACACTTTGTTGAGATTAGTAAGCACTGTGCATTTGAATGCTGCAGGCTTGCGTAAATCAATAATGTGGCCTTGTGTAAAGCAAACCAAAAGAACCTAAGAGTAATATTTGTGCAGTATAGCATGTCATGTACGCACGACAACTCTGTAACAATTCAGCCCCGCAGAGATTTGGGGACTTGTTGTGAATCATGGTTGTGATTTAGTTCAATAGTGGGTTATTTATAATTTTTTATAATTTATTTTTTGCACAATTTTATATAATTTTCTTTGTAACGTTTCTTGTTTTTTGTTGTTGTGTGTCACGTCCGTGTGGGTTTGTTTACTCAATATAAAATTTACTATATGTCATGCACATATTTTCGCACAGGTAAGGAAAACGATAATTTTTTTATTGATGAATCAATAAATGCATTCTATATAATATGCGTCATGTATATACAACAAGTCAGATGGCTCAGCGGTAGAGCAAGCGGATCGCGTTCAGAAGGGTTGCAAGTAAAATTTACGGTTGGGGATTAATTTAGGAACATCATCATCCCTCTGGGGTTAATAAAAACTAAGCACCACTTTGTGGGCAAGTCAACATTGGTTGTCCTATGAATACATTTGCCCCTTGACGTAGGAATGTGGAAGGTTCCCCACCGTCCCAGGCTTGAAAATGAATAAAAATGCTCGTTTTGATCAGAAAATCTACTTAACAATAAGATCAATTCCAGACGTAATTACAAAAAATTGCTATTCCAGGCCTGAGCTCCAGAAAATATTTCCCTGCTATACCAGTGGGGGGAGGGGGGGGGGATGGGTTGGGGGGTGGGGGGAGGAGGTGTGGGGGGGGCTTAGTGGGCCCTGGAAAATATTTCACGACAAATTAAGCCATGCGTTTATACGATACGCGGCCGAAAACATTTGCCAGAGCCCGTCGCTCTGAAACTACTTAAGGCTGCGCAATGTTCTGCGTTGCTGAATTACATCGGTGTCCCAAAACCAGGCAGGCGGAGGATGCCAAAACTCTACACCCACTCAGAGGAGACAGAGCGACTTTAAAGTGTACTGCTCCGCTGGGAACCGGTTCACGCGCGTCGCAAGTTTAATAGTTGCAACCACACTAGCACGCAGTCGTGACAGCAATTACACAGCAGTCAGCGCTCTGAACCTCGCCAAGCACACTGAAAACAAAGGAGGAGGTGGCGGCGGAGGCACTGCGGGGCCAGATGTGAAAAGCGCTCGCGAGTTTAAAAAAAGGATGACTGGCGAAGAAGTGAGCTAGTGGGGGAAGTGACCCGCTCTGCGTGAGCGCGGGATCTTCACCTGTTTGATGGCGGTGTCTAATAGCGCCGTTGGCGGACGCAATTTAAAGAAAAAAATGATTTCATGGGTTTCATCTGTCGCTCATCTATTTCTTGACAACGTTTGTAATGAAAAACATTTCGGCAGTATGCCGTCAAATATGCATTTTTTTAGGTAGGCAATTGTGGCAGGATCTGATGGAATCATAATTGGAAACCGGGGGAAAAAATCGCATCTATTTAACCTGCCACGGTGATAATTAAACTTTCAATTGCATCGCAAAGTAGATGGAACAAAACCATTTACATTCGCCGGCCTATCTTCTCTCACCACCTGTCTGCATGCATTTCAGTTTTTACTCGTTGTGCAAAAGATGTCACTTCACCTTACACAAAAAATGGGATTCTCAAATAAATGGGAAGCTGCGTGAAATATAATTTGCACGTGGCAGATACGCCTATATATATATAGCCATTCATTATCCTTATCCACACCGAAAAAAAAAACACATTCCGGCAGTATGCCGTCAAATTTCATACCAACTTGTACTCCCACTCCGCGCTTCCAATTAAAATACACCAATTGTAAAATGTACCATACGTTTTCAAACATGGTAACCACAGTAAGTGGACGGTAATTCTTGTCACACTCATTACACACAAAGCGCTTCCACAAATGAACCATAATACCTTGATCTCGTCAAGGAGCTTAAACCATCATCACACGAACTGCGGTGGTCATCCTTGCAGCAGCAGCGGCGGCTTTTAGCAAACCATCAAACAAAGATGGGCACCGCATCGCGCACTTTCAGATGTGCTTCTGCGGCCATTTGGAACGCTCTCCCTTCTGATATCAGAAAACCACTGAAGCTATGCACTTTTAAATCTAAATTGAAAACTAATTCATTTAGAACCGCTTTTGTGTTCAATTTGTTGTTCTTTCCCCGCATCTCCGATTAACACGAATGACTATGTATGGTGCGAAGGAAGTTCAACATACATGCATACATGTGTGACTCATCATATGGAAATAAACCGAGTGCAGCCTGGTAAAAAAAACATGAGAAAAATCATGGTCGTATGCATTATACACTGGAGTGGTATCATGCAAACATGCGAGGCATGATGGGAGGACCAATGGCTCCGGTCACAATCGCGCCTTTCAGAACCTTCTGCGGAGTAGGTTTCGGTGCAGCGTTGTGCATTTTCTGCGCTCCAAAATAAGCACTCCGAGGCTTTAAAGGTAAAGAAGCCATTGCAGATTGAGTTATCATTCGTCCAGTGACCAAGATGAAACCGAGGGCACGGACGGCGCCGCACTGCCAACACGCTTGCTCGCATGCGGCCCATGAGGAGAGAGCGTGGGAGGATTTTCCCTAATAAAAGATTCATTCCGTGGGTTCATGCAAATTTTATCAACGTTGAAAAGTACTTGCTGTGAAAAACCCTTCAGCGCACGAGCGTGGCGCCGTCTCGGAAAGAGGCAAGGTGACCTAGTTTCAGATGCGATTGTCACCGGCGCGAGCACGCGTGCAATTTAATGGAATCATTTAGAAGATTCTTCAAAGATAATGAGCTTTGCTGTTGAACAAAGCGCTGCTTTATGAGATGGACAAAGACAGCTACTTCAAAAGTCCTCTGATCTTCCGTAAGCAGCTTTACACCGGGAGCTCTCAGATGTGCACGATTTCAAAAGGAAATATCTGCTGCGAGCGAAAGTCAAATACAATAGCCTGAGCTCTTGAAAAAGAATATTGATTATTCGTATTATGAAGATGCGATAGGGTAGGACAAAACGAAAACAGTCTCCCAAAAATATCTCGTGAGCACGCAAAATCACAGAGTTCGTAACGAGACCTCTGTCGGCCAAAACGAATATCTTTCACGCCCGAACTAACCCGCTGTTGGCAGTTCAGGTGTTTATTCATTGCATTTCATCCAGTCACTCAGCCACATGATATATTCTGCCACGTGACAAACCTGACCGGCCTCGTCCGATCACGGAAGCGTGCACAGTGCTTGGCATGGGCGACCCTCCACGCACAAATACGTGTCCACGCGGCTGTGGGGGCTATGTGGTGAGCAGTAGGTCTGTCGGGAAGACAACGGGGGGTCCATTCAGACGCTGTCTTCCCGACAGACCTGTTCTTCACCTGAGGACGGCTGCTTGCATTGTGGCCGAAACGTCGTGAGAATTATTTTATTGTTGTATTTTTATTATTTTATTATTTCCCTTCTACGTGACTTTACCGAAAGAACCAAGAAGATGAATCCCTGCAGTCACGAAAGCTTTAAATCTGTTGAGGGCAGTGAATCAAAATCCATTGTTGCTCCGTGCGCCTCTATGCTTCCGAGTCTTTGTTCACCGACTTCGCTGAGCGGCACAGCCCAGCGCGGTGAAGCGTGCTCGGATTACCGCCATGGCCTCGCAAAGGCGCGTGTGGGGGAGGCCGTCATCCAGCAGTGGATTGGCTAAAACACGTACGTACACGCATCGTGCGTGCATGTTCACGCATACGTATACACACGTTCGCGGACAAGGGTTCCCTGAGACAGCGCGTCGCGTGTCATCCCAGCGCGATGTGGAGTCGTGCTGCATGCGTTCGTGGCACCCATTAAAAAAAAACGTGAATGCAATTTTGTCGGTGCGCGGGCACTTGTCTGTGGCAAGGCGCAGTGAACCGTCTTTGTGCGGTAATTAATTCATCCCCAGCGGGAGCCCCGGTGGAGGGAGGGCAGCGATGAGAACATTTGGGCCAGGTGCCAGAGCGACGATGGTGGGCGCGTGAAGATGCATTTATTTGTTATTCTCACACCAATTATTTTGATGACGACACTTCTGTGCCGTCACGGAGAGCGAGGTATTATTGCTTTACGAGTTATGCAAATTGCACGTAATTATCCGATAATCATACGTTTAGGCCAATGGAGTAAAAACTAAAAGTGCTAAAAACTCGACACGAACAAATAAACAAGACAAACGGCAATATGAGACAGTGAAAACGAATCGATAATTCTAGATTTGAAGCTTTCGTGACTGCAAGGATTCATACTCTTTGGTTTTTTCGGTAAAGTCACGTAGGTAAAAAATAAAATAAAATAAATGAAAACAACTAAATTAAATCACGACGTTTCGGGCGCAACACAAGCGTCCTTCTTCAGGTGGGGACAACGTAGCGAAAGCACAACCGCTTAGACACACTTAAGCGGTTGTGCTTTAATTTAGTTGTTTTCATTTATTTTATTTTATTTTTTACCTTCGTGACTTTACCAAAAAAAAACGACGAATCGATACTTCAATTGATTCGCAACCCCGAATCTCGGCATTTCATAGAATTAGCCACGAGCGGCGGGTGGGTTGTATGAATCATCATCTCCGGACAGAGTGGACGAGGTCTCCTGAACAGGAGATCCCATATCCTACGGCATATTCGGCGGTGTTTTTTTTGTTTGTGCAAGAGGTAGCAACCCTTATACTCACGTCATGTTGGGAGAGAACGTCAGCAGGAGGTTGTAGATGTGTGAGAAAAAGAAGAGGAGCATGATGGAGGTGAAGAACATGACCATCCAGGAGCCCCGGTCTTTATGGAACATCTTCAGCCTCAGCATGTTGCCTGGGCGGGCAAGGAGACAAGAGCGGTGGTCATTTCCCGTCGCACGCACCCTCACGTTGCCAGCCACCCCCGACGGCGCCACGAAGAATGAAATCAGAATCAGAATCCGATGAGCCATGCAGCTGGTTTTCAGAGATGTCCAGTAGGGGCGGGTAAGAACGTTACAGCAACAAACAGTGCAAACAAAACAACATGATGGTGGTGTGAAGTACAAGATATGCAAACAAATCGCCCAAACGAATACAAACAAAACTCAACCATCCCCATCCTACTCTTTGGTACTTTCGGTAAAGTCACGTAGAAAGAGAACATAATAAATGAAATAATAGCATACGACGTTTCGACTGCAACACCAGCAATCATCATCAGGTACAAATGAAAGAGAAAACAAACCTAGTAAACTTAGAAATATAATGCCCCCCTCTATCTTTATTTAAGGCCTCGACACAGAGACGTTGTTTCTCTGTGTGCCCATGTGTGTGTTTCTCTCTGTGTGTCTAACTGTGTCTCTCTCTCTGCTTATGTGTCTGTCTATGTGTCTCCGTGTCTGTGTTTTGTCTCTCTCTCAAATGTATCAATCTTTGGAAGAATGTTATCAAGCAAGTAGGGTGTTGACTGTTATGTTAGCCGACTCTATGTGTTGTATTGCATTATATTTCTAAGTCTACTAGGTTTGTTTTCTCTTTCATTTGTACCTGATGATGATTGCTTGTGTTGCAATCGAAACGTCGTATGCTATTATTTAATTTATTATTTTCTCTTTCTACGTGACTTTACCGAAAGAACCAAAGAGTAATTCCTGCAGTCACGAAAGCTCCAAATTAAGTTGCATCCCCATCCTACCAGGCAAAGCCCACTGAGGTGCTAACTTAATTTTTCAGAAGCGACCTGGCCATGAATGATGGCTCAACAACAAAGTGGGCCATCATTTGGACATTTATAGCACCAAAATAATCAAAATAATCTCAATGCACGTTTCCAAATGTGGAGGGGGAAAACCGGAAGATCCGGAGAAAGAAAAAAAATCAACGCGACCACTAAACAAAACCGAGCAAAAGATTTGGATGCCAGTTTAGCTCGGGGGCAGGGGGGGAGGTGATGGTGGGGGTGGACACCGGATTAATAAAAAAAATATTGGGGTGCATCAATTACCAGCTTCAATTTAAACCCTAATTAACGTAATGAAATATTGCTCTGGAAAAGCAAAAACGTCACTTGAAATTTCTATTAACACCCACCGCTCCATCTCTGTACCTCATCTCTTGTTTTCTCGTGACACTGACATCTCTGTCTTTTTCTGGTTCTTTCGGTAAAGTCACGTAGAAGGGAAGTAATAAAATAATAAAAATAAAACATAATAAAATCATTCTCACGACGTTTCGGCCACAACGCAAGCAGCCGTCCTCAGGTGAAGACCAGGTCTGTCGGGGAGGACGGCTGCTTGCGTTGGAGCCGAAACGTCGTGAGAATTATTTTATTATGTTTTATTTTTATTATTTTATTACTTCCCTTCTACGTGACTTTACCGAAAGAACCAAGAAGATAGAAGATGAATCCCTGCAGTCACGAAAGCTTTAAATCGAAATCTCTGTCTTTGTTTACATTCCTCCTCTCGTGTCCCTACATCTGTACCTCGTCGATATTTCTTCTGTCAACCGACTAGGATTTCACGAATCGAAAGAATGGGTTGAGTGGGTGGGTTGGGGGGCGCAGGAGGTGCCCTGCTCAGAAATAAATTCTGCCGAGAGCCCCCCAGGGGGGGGGGGGGGGGGGGGGGGCTGTGGGGCAGCAACACCACCGATGAAACTCAGCCACGGCGGTTTCTCCAGACGGTGAGCCCGCGACGCCGCGAGTTGCCGACATCAGGAGAAGGCGGCACTTGGCAGGCTTCTGCTGGAGGGTGGCCAAAAGCCAGGACGCATTGGGTTATTTCATTTATTTTAACAAACCGACTTCCATTGCACGATTGCATGCAATTAATGCACGCATGAATTATAGGCTTCAGCAGCCGAAATAAACATGAGCTTTTTGTTTAAGATCACATCTTTGGACAATCATCAATCATGTTGCCTTCTCGATTCTTTGATTCGGGGTTCTTGGTCGAGTTTTGTCAGCGACAGACTTGAAGTGATCACACGGGAAGAATAAAAATGGATATTAATAATAACAGATAAAATATTAACTTATAAAATAAACAATACAAATGTGTTACAATATATGAAATAACCCTACGTATCCTGATTTTTAGGTCATCCTGTATATTTTTAGTAATTGCATCGCTAATAAATGCTCCAGAATGCACAGTAAAACATTATCTGCGCCTGAAGCACAGGTGGAGACAAAGCTCAATTCGATATGATAATTTACATTAAAGGTTGCACACACCATCTGCTTTCCATTACATAAACGCGTTGCTTTAAAATTGCACACATTTAATGCCGAATGCTCCGTCGATTATTGTTGAGCAGCATGGCTGCTGTCAAGATAACATACAAAAGCACGCTTCAAACGAAGGTACCTTAACGTGTGCAGGTACAGCATTTTTGTGTAAATCCACTGCTGGATGAGCCTCCCCCCCACACACTGTTACGGGGGTTATTTGACCATACTTCCTCCATGCTGTTCAATGCTGGTTGCTAAAGGCAGAGGGAGCAAAGATGTTGGAGCATAGTACAAGTACTCCACTGGATTTTTCTGCCCTGCCCTCTCTTGACCGAGTAGCCCGACAGGAACCTGCGACAGCTTTTTTTTTAGCATGCGTCGTGGTCGCTCATCGGAGCCACGGAGGAGACTCAACTGTCGCAAAGTCACGTAGGTAAAAAATAAAATAAATAAAAACAACTCAATTGAAGCACAACCGCTTAAGTGTGAAGCGGTTGTGCTTTCGCTACGTTGTCCCCACCTGAAAAAGGACGCTTGTGTTGCGCCCGAAACGTCGTGATTTAATTTAGTTGTTTTCATTTATTAAATTTTTTACCTACGTGAATTTACCGCAAAAAACCTAAGAGTTTCCGCGGCCCCACGAAATTGGGTGAATCCGGGGCAACTTGATCTTAAGGTCCAAGATGTTGACGGCCATCGCACGGCAACCCCCATTTCAAATGAAGCCCTTTAGAAAAACAAGGCAGCTGAACGCGAGGGCGTAGAAAAAAAGGAAAACGACCAAATAAAAAACACGCACATCGGAAATTAGCATTTTTCAGTTCTGAGAAATCGAACCGGGCATTTCGTTCACACTCCTGGAAATGCTCGGCGCTAACGAACAATTGTTTTGCCATCGCGCGTTCTGACACGGCAGATGTGCTTGTCAAATGGCGCTTAAATGAGAACCGCGGGGAAGGGAATGCGCGTAATTGGTTTATACATCATTGTTAGGGAAATGTCACTCGCCGCTGCAGACAAATTGGCTGATCATTGCCGCCACCTTCCGGGGGAAGTACACGCAACAATTTTTTTTGCCTTATCTCATATTTATACAGCGCTTTTATACAAGGCGCTTTACAAGGGTTATGAGTGGTAGGTACAATGAGCGTAGCTAAAGGTGATATGGTGCATAGGGATGGGGGTATGGGGAGAGAGGGTTAGTGGGTATGGAAATTACGGGGGTGCCTCGGGATGAAGGGAAGGATGAGCCAGGGAGTAGAGGTGGGTCTTGAGGCAGGAGCGGAAACTCGACAGGGAGAGTGCTTCTGCCTTAATGTGGAGGGGAAGTTTGCTCCAGTGCAAGGGGGCATGTAGGGAAAAGGAGCAGAAACGGTGGGTGAATTGTGCACAAGGAGAGGGGGCAATGGTGAGGAGTAGGAGGAGAGATTGAGAGCGGAGCGGAGCGGGCGGGCAGGGACGTAAAACAAGACAAGGGAAGTGAGGCACGGAGGTGCAATTAGTTCTCCAATACGTGCCGAAAGGGTCCAGCAGCCACCGCAAGCAAATTCCTGACCTGCACAAGAGGAATGTGATGCCTCAATGAGGGGGTTATAATATATACAGAAGACTATACTTTGAATTTGTCACGCTATCTATGGGACATTTAATGCCAGTATAAAAATGATGAAAAGGGTGGAATAGGCTTTACCCTTTCTGGCAAAGGCAGTAACTGCTCAACCTGAGCTATTAATGATTTGAGACTTGCAGTGCCTTTATACTTACTGTTAGCCTGTTGGCATTCTCTGGCCTAACAATGGTGAGACAAGGCCATACAGAAGGCTGTCTCTGGGTGTAGGCCAATCAGTTGCAAAGACAATGCATATATTATCAGAGCATATTCTATGGTTCTTTCGGTAAAGTCAAGTAGATAAAAAAAAAATGAATATAAACAACACAAGCGGTCGGACCGATTGTGTTGCAATCGAAACGTCGTGATATTTTTATTAACTTAATTTGTATTATTATTATTATTTTATTATTATTCTTTTTTTTATTTACGTGACTTTACCGAAAGACCCATAGCATACGAATTCCAGCAGTCACGAAAGTTTTAAGTCAAAATTTATCAGAGCATGTTTGTTTGCATGTTTTGACACAAATGTGTGTGGTTAATGCAGACTTGATGCCTGCAATACATAATCTTCACGGTGATTTGTTTAAGGAATTGTTTTAGTAGTCGTATGGCAGTGATCACTTATACAGCAAGGGCCAGGAAAACTAGAATAAGCCAGATAAATGATGATAAAAATACACGCATGGGGAAATAATTCATGATTGTCTATTACATTTTTCTAAGTTGCCAATTCACTCTTGCAAGGTCATTAAACATACACATGTGCATCGCATTACAAGGAATGGACGTACAATTGGATTAGTATGACGCATTTAACTGTCTCATTTATCAAAAGTTTTTTTAGTCTCAAAATCCACATATTTGATTTAAACATATCAAGGAATGCTAAGCAGTGTTGAGCAAGTGCTGAGCTGGATAACTACCAGGGCTTGCAAGATGTTGTAGGTGTGGGACTGCGAGGAGGCTGAGAGACATGAGTGTGGAGTGTCATTCCCCCTCATATGCAGCATGCCATGGTGGCGAGATGTTAACTATCTCGCCTGGTTCGTGGGCTCGAACCCAACCATGATGCCCGTGGATTTTTCTCCGAGTCCTCCGGTTTCTCCCTCCGTATTTAGAAACATGCGTTTTTTGAGTATTTGGCTACTATAAATGTTCACGTTATAAGCGGCCACTTAGGAGAGCTATCATTTGTGGGCAGATCGTTCCTGTGGTGGCCTCCTACATGAAGCCAAACGACTCATTCATGGAATTGGCCAAACATTCCAATTCAAGGCCCTCCAGAAAACGAATCTTAAAACTCAATGAGTCCTTCCTGGGTCATTAATTAGCATTATTATTATATATACGGGGTAGTATCTCTTGGAATCTCTCATTTACTTGATACTTGATACAGCAAGCGTGCTGTGACGGTTCCACCTGAAGACGGAAGCTTGTGTTGCCTCCGAAACGTCGTGATTTTATTTTATTTTACTTTTATTAATTTTAATTTTTTACCTACGTGACTTTACTGAAAAAAACCTAAGACTATGAATCCTTGCAGTCACGAAAGCTTCAAATCTAGAATTATTATTATTATTGTCACTCCAACTTTGCAGTCCAAATAATTACAGTGAAATCTCTTCGGTAAAAGTTGGCAGTTTCCGATTAAAGATGAACTCGCCACCATTCCGTAGGCTTCGACTATTGCATTCATGCCATTTCAAATGTAAACAATATTGATGTGTCTGCTGTGAGCCAGTCATGTCTATGAGAAGACGTAGTTCACATTATATGCAAATCCTCATTTAGCAAATAAAATATAGGAGAGCACTGAAAACTGATTTTGTGAGACATTTCAGTGTTGCCTTCAGCACCACTTAGCAAAACCATCCCGCATCGTTTACCCAGAATGTAAATGTGAAATGCGGCAATTGCATCTAATTAAATGATGAATAATTGTTTTAATGAAACACTGCATTACATACAGAGGCTATATTTTATTCACGCGTTATTTAAAGTGTCATATTTTCCATGTTTTATTTAGCACTCCATAATGAAAGTGCACAGTTCATACATACCCCGTATTTATAAATTAACAACAAAGGTTACCGTATTCTCCGGATTATGACATACTTTTTTTATCCACGGAATTTTAAATAAAAACGTTGGGGGTGCATCTTATAGTCCTGTAGGTGTGTGTGTAGATTACCAGATTTGTGGGAGAGCGGTGGTGTAGTGCCTCGCCCACTGCGCTATGAACATTGCAAAACGAGTTCGATTCCCACTCACGGACCAACACCAGCGACGATTACGACCTGGTCCTGGGCCTCCCCTAGGTCGGTTCAGCATCAAATGAGTTCCTGGTGCGGTGTGTAAACATCGCCACTAGGAAGACAAAGGCGGTTGGGCACGGTGCCGGCCACCCAGCCTCTCGTGTGCCGTGCCGGCCTTCATAGGTGCTCGCTAACAGCACTTGCCCCTCCAGTCTGTTAAGGCTATAAGGAAGATCGTTATTTTCGTTGCCAGATTTGTATAGCTTTATTGACACCGGGCACAAATTTTGGGTGCGTCTTATTTTCCAGAGGGTCTTATAAACCACCGTATGCCCTGGTTTATGCCGATATCCATCGACAATGTTTAAGCCTGTCTGATAATCTTAACGAAATGGGTTCGTATTTTCTGAGCAAAGAAACAAGTGTGAATTTCATGAGCTTTGAGTCACAATCCATTTCATTTTACAGCTGCAATGTACAGAATGACTATAAAAAAAAAACTTTTAAAACACATACCGCAGCTTACCCTGCAACAGTTTAATTTTATCCACGTTTCCAAGGGGATTTCTTGAAACGTTAACTTAAGAGGTAATTCAATGCCCCTCAACCCATTGCCTAGGGCAGAGTGGTACGGGAGAAAGACACACTTTGTCGCCACACTCTGCAGGCCGACAATCAACTTTCACCCACTGACACCTTGCTCCTCCAGCCAATATTGTACTCACTGCCACAGCACACACATCGCCGGCTGCTGGTTTGTATCGAAATTCTTTCGCACCGTACGTAGCCAACCGTGCCAAATCGGTTTCACTTTTTTTAACTTTCAGTTTTTTTTTATTCCTCTCTCCAGAAAAAAATTCATTAAAAAAAATTACCAGGACGATGAAGTAGGGTCAAATAGCCCGGGAAGGCCCGTAACGGCGTGGCGAGGCCCTCATCCAGCAGCGGATTGACAAACGGGCACTACACGTACACCATCAGGATGCTATTGCAAGAAAAAAAACCCGATGCACAAAGCAGAGTACACGACTCCAAGAACGGCTGTCAAACAGAATTCTCTTAGAAAAGTGGTTCGTTCAATGACGCCTCCGTGGCGTAATGGTGGCCAACACTTTCTTGTCATCCAGAGGTGGTGGTTCGATCTACCGGTGCGGCAGTTCAAACAACGGCGCAGGTTTCTTAACCCCACCTTACCCCACCCTGCCTCTTGTCCGCCCAGCAGTATAAAAGGATGCACCGGCAATTAGCCAATCGGCAGAGTAGCAAGGCGATTGACTAATTCCCACCTATTTCAAGACGTTCGTCAAGCATCACACAGTCGGCCAAATGATCTCTGGAGTAGCTCTCTAGCTCTCACTCTCGCGGAAGCAATTCCGCCAGCAGTGGCACGAGCAGGCGATTGCAGCGCTGCACCTTTAACCCCCTGTTCTGTTGACTCCAAAACGTCGAGCTACTTCTTAATGGAAACCCATTAGCTGCCAATGTAACCATAGCAACTTGCATGCCACGGCTGTCACGGCCAACAGAACTGGAGGAGTGTTTCTTTTTTTTATGACCAATTTCAGCTCAATTGCACTTTTGGAACTTCCAAAGCCATCAGAGTCCCGCACGGCACACGGGAGAATGAACCCCCCCGCCCCGCACCTGACACCCGGTGACCGTGCCGAGACTATTAACTCTCTCGACTTGACAACCGGGTTTTAATCACGGGTGGCTGCCCAGGTTCGATCGCCGGATCTCAGCAGGGGAGGGGGGGGGTCTCTGGCATAATGCTCTCACATCTCACATCGGCAGAGTATAATCCCCGGTGGTGAGCCACTCGGCCAAACTCGACAATTTGAATTTAGAGCGGCTGACGCAACAAAATCTTGAAGCTTCCTTCTGTGCACCGCCGTTCGACTAGTTGAGGTTCCTAACAGCATTAGCCCCAATCGTCCCACCTTGTTGCCCTTCCACCTCCTGTTCTGATTGTCACCCGTCTCGTTATAGCGGTTTCCCCCGGTTGCATAAATTAGAAATGTCATTACCTCAATCGTTACCCGTTACGGTACAATTTGCCGTCCGTGTGGGGCCAGGCTGTCTGTGTCACACACGCCACTGCTCGCTCAGCCCCTTAATGATCGGGGCTCCCTCATAGTCAACCAGGAGATGAAAGAAACCCATCGAGACACGTGAAAAACATCGCCTCTCTTGCAAGGGCGACCTTGGTTGCGTCATCTCTCTTTGACGACACGATATTTGAAAAACATTTTGAGTACACAATCGTTTAAAAGAAATCAATTTGCCCAACGTGCTTTTTGCTGTTTCTTTTTATTGTCGATTTTTTTTGCCGTAATGTTTATACGACTGCCCCTGCACAGCATCTTGGCAATGCATTTAGTATTTTGACACTGCAAGGTAAATGTGCAGCCCTGAAATTGTTTATTCATGCCACTGTTGACGAAAGGGCCTCCACTGGAGAGAAAACGCCTATTGAGGCTATCTTGGCCTACTCTTCCACACTCGTCAGACATCTTTGAAGAGGTGGTAGTAGCCACACTTCATCCTATCACAAGCTAGACCTACCGTGTACCCAATAATCCTTCTGGTAGGACAGAAGGGACGGGCGGGGGGGGCGTGTTTAAGAAATGTAAGAACCTTGCACCGATGTTTCAACTGCCGCTCCCGGAGGTGAAATCGAACCGGCGACCTCTGCATTGCAAGTCCGGCCCGCTAACCGTTAAACACCACTGGGGCATCACCGCAGGGAAAACCTTCGCGAAAGCCACACAAACGACGGGACGGGCAGACGACCTACCGAACAGCGCCTGGTGGATGATGAATTTTCCCACAAGCATGCCGCCCGCGATGCCGCAGAGCCACGTGCACACCTTGAGCACGCTCCACCAGCCGCCCGGGTACTTGTTGACCACGAGGGAGAAGCAGTTCCCCACCACCGCCACGTTGGCCTCGGTGCGGCTGTGCGACACGGGGTCCTCGGCGAACATGAGGAAGTTGAGGAGTGTGACGAGGTAGGCGATGAAGAGGCGCAGCCACGGGTGCTGGAAGTAGTGGCGGAATAGCGCCAGGTGGCGCACGAAGCGGCCCTGGCCCTGTCGGAAGAATTCACCCACAGGAGTCAGGAGATCGACCAAGGTATGTTTCTAGAAGTGGTCAGGTGGCTCGGGGGTCAGGGCGTTGTGCTGGCACCGCTGAGATCTCGGCGTCGCTATCTCAATTCGGGCAGCCGCCTGTGGTGAAGATCGGTTTTCAAGCGTAGCGAATTGGTGGTCTCGGCTCGGTGACCGGGGACTGCATAGAAAGAAATCGTCACGTTAAATTTGGATTTTTTACTTAATTTGCAAAAAAATCCAGATCCGAGATTTGAAAAGTGTCAGTTTGTCTGTCATGTGGACAATCTCACAGCAGGAGTGTATGGGTAAGTGCAGCCAATCCCACGAAAAATGTGTTCTGCAGCCAGTCCCTGGAGCAGAGGGCACATTGCTTTTCGAGATTGATTAATCAATTTTCAAAAAATAAATGAACAGATTCTATTCTGTGCTGAGCATTTGCCGCTGTAGAAAAACTTTCCCAAAGTTCATCTGAAGATATGATTGAGTGTCTTTTTTACGTAAAGCTTGGGGGAGGCCTTCATCCATCGAACAGTGGCTTGATCATGCCTGATAACCACGATGATGATGGTAACTTTACGTGCTCCCTTAACAAGTCTCATCACGTGCACTAAGGGAAATAAGATAGATCGCTGGGCGTATAATGTAAAATAAAGGTTAATGGCCATGCTAGGCTACTGTGGATTTATAGTTGACTGCAAATGATACGTGTAACAATAAATGTCAACAATCTATATTAGAATTTTAAACCAACCTCACATAAAATACTTGAGCATGATAATAAAATGAAATTAATGCAAACAGCACAGCATCTAAAATATATAATAATAATAATCTCATCATCTCTATATCAAAATTGTAACCCTTTTTATTGAAAAAGTGCTTCATGCCTTGGATATAATAAGAAACACGCCAAAAATTTAGTCATTTTAAGGGAGCTGACAGGCTCGTTATTGCTATGCTGGTGAAGTAATAAACTCGTCCGTCTGTCTGCCTGTCCATCTGTCAATCCGTTCAAGGACATTTATTTGTAACGTTTTAACAAAACTACAACATTCATAAACCAATCACTCGAAGATTTACTACACTTTTCACCGATAATAATGAGTAGATATGTGGATTTTAGACAGAATTGGCAAGTCAATGTTTTTTTTTCTTCCTAAAAGCGTCTTTATAGCTACAGAAAATGAATCACCAGCGCAATCAATGCTCAAATTTTTGTCTGTGAATGCCGGCGCTCGCGTCAAATATAATGGAGGTACCCTTCCCCCAGGATGCCCGCGTCTTCATGCTTCTGATAGATGCAGTTGCATTTGGACGCTGTAGCAAGTCTGAATTATGCATGGGCATTTTTTTTATTATAGACATTTAATTAAAAGTGTTATAAGCTGCTGTGGGGCTACGCAGCTCGCCTATACCAATGCCCAGATCTGTATAGTGTGGGGCAATGCAATAGTTTTTTAAAGCATTAATATATATAATAACATAACCAGCACGCTCAACACACAGGCGCGGGTGTATGGATGTAAGCACGTGCCGCCACCAAAATGGAGGCTAACTTTCCCCAGGGGAACCATGTCTCCTTGCTTCTGTGAGAAGCAGTTGCATAAAGACAGATTCTAGAGTGAGTCTAAATTGCCCGTGGTAACTTTTAACCACCGTACAGGCATTTATCTTTTTTATTTTTATTTAAAGCTTTCGTGACTGCAGGGATTCATATTCTTGGTTCTTTTGGTAAAGTCACGTAGAGGGGAAACAATACAATAATAAAAATATAAAAACAATAAAATCCTCACGACGTTTCGATTTCAACACAAGCAATCATCATCAAGTGTGAAAACCACAGCAAGAAAATTTGAAAAGAGTGGCGGTTTTTTCTTACCCTTGCACAACGGACAGCGACTTGGCAGTTGCTATTATTTGATTGTTTCCATTCTACGTGACCTTACCGAAAGAACCAAGAACAGGCATTTCTCTCTCAACGGTGCGGGGTGACGTTGTCGGGCAGCAGTGGGCAGCGCGGGGAACTCCATGATTGTCCCATGCTGCCGTGCTCCCTCATCTATGCTGCTTGCCTCCACAAACCCACGTTGGCCAGTGTGAAGGGAGGTCAAACAACTCCCTTGACCTGTACGGTGTGGGAAGGCCGTCATCCAGCAGTGGAGTGACAAAGGAGCTGCACCATGTACATTCATGGACATTATACTCCATCAATGAACGCGCAGATTATGGCCAATGGGCAATACTTATAATGATGATGCAGTGGCAGGCAAGGAATGGAAGGCTTCTGACAGGAAGTCAACCGAGTCAAAGGAGGAATACAATTCGCGTGCAGGTGCTGCGTGGATTATTGTATTGCGGGTTTGTGATTGGTGGCAGTGGCTTGGGGAGGTGTTCATCCAGCAGTTGATTAACCATGGCAGAGGATGATGACGATGATGAACGAACTATCGTGTCCGTTTAGTAATCGAACGCAGGATTCAAGAGAAACATTGCAAGATTTGAAAGCTCTCCAAAAAGTAGCTCGTGTCGTAAAACCAGGCCGAGACCGCGGTGTAAATAAAACCTCTCCCTCTCTCTCTCTCTCCTGATTGAGATGCTGCTCGCCTCCGCGGTAATAGCAGCCTTTTTGCGTTGGAGACAAAATCAGATGGAAATGATCCACATCCACCATCCACAGCCGGCTAAGAGGATTACAACGGCACGACAAGCGGAAAGCTAGCGGGCGCACACAATGCCCATAGCGTAGGAAAAATCGTTAGCAGGGTCGCCGTACGAGGCGGCCCAAGCCAAGGAGCGTGGAGCTCCAAGAAAATCCACGACAAAAGCCATCTAGTTGCGCCAGGAGCGGTGTGTGGATTCTGTTAATCCTTTCATGCGCGAGCGCGTTTGATTTCCAAACCACCGCCGTTGTCCGTAACGTGAGTAACAAAAAATTAACCCGTAAAAACAAAGTTTTTCACTATAAATCCTTTATATGTGTGGCATCGGGGCGGCTAGAGTCCTCTCGTCCTCTGGCTTGAGATGGCTGCCACCTATGGGTCAGATGATTGTCTGCCACCATTAAGCAATTGGTAATTAAATATTTTAAAAAAATTCCCTAAACAGTGTACAATTTTGGGAAAAAAAAATCACGAAAATTACTTGTCACGCACAACGAGTCTGTGTGCAAAATGTCAGCTCGATTGGATCACGGGAAGTGGGTTAAAACACGACCGAAAGATTTGCACGGTCGTAAGCAAGCAAGCAAGCACGCAAGCACGCAAGCAAGCAAGTGAACTTAATATAAAGGATTTAAAAAAGCGCCCGGTGAGCTAAACTACTCGAGCGCAAATGTTGGCTCGTGTGCAATGTCAGTAAAGCCGTCACTGCGCCGCCTCTCGATGTGCGAACGGTTACATTCCAGCGTGCCAACTGTATTCATGCAAATTTTACGTTGGGATAGGGTTAACAGTAGCTAGATCTTCTTGGTTCTTTCGGTAAAGTCACGTAGAATGGAAATAATAAAATAATAAAAAATAAAACATAATAAAATAATTCTCACGACGTTTCGGCCACAACGCAAGCAGCCGTCCTCAGGTGAAGAACAGGTCTGTCTTATCGACAGACAGCCCTGTTCTTCACCTGAGGACGGCTGCTTGCGTTGTGGCCGAAACGTCGTGGATGTAACTGTGACCCTCTGGCTGTACACCTGAACACACACACACACAGCACAAAGATTTTCAACACTCCATAATATTCATTTCCCCCTCAATTGTATTCCGATTATGCTATCCGTGCCACGCCATGAGATGGAAACGTTTTCGCTTGGAAGTTTCACAGCGAGCAGGGCACCACCCTGTGTCAGAAAACGGCCCCAGTAGGTGAGATCACATCGTAACTTCTGAAGCCACTTCCATAGATGCCTTCATTTCCCCTGCAAGTGTTTTTGTTTTACATGTCAATAAAAGCACATGTTTAATTCCCAGAGCAATACTTTTGCCAAATTAAGTTAAAAACTAAGCGTATTACCCCCCCCCCCCCACCTTCTTCCCCACCACGCCCGCTCCCTCTACTCCCTTACTTCAGTGTTTCTTCCCTCACCTTCCTCTACCCTCGTAATAGTACATGTGGACGCAGTGGCGGTACACCGACGCACCATAATACACCAGTCCTAATAAAACAATCTAACGATGCCGCTACTGCGCCTTGAGTGAGCTGCAGACTCTCCATCAGAAGTTGCCTTGGATCCAGCAGCTGTTCTTCCAATTCGAACGTGCGACACCGCGAGTCATTTTCTTTCGATGACATCGTCCGCCAAGAAATGAGTCCGACAACCAATCGAGGAACCGTGCGGCCAAATCTCGGGCACGAGGAGTCAAATCTGCCTTTGGAACACTGAGCAGCCAATCGTCACCAGGCTCTACGGCAACAGACTGTGAAGCTTCGTGTTCAGACGCTCGCAGCATTCGCCTTCCGACTGCTTCAGCGTCACGAGAACTGATTTTGACCGCACCACCCCGCAAGCTTTTCTGACCGAGTTTGCGAGTCGCGGGAAAATAAATAATTACTGGGAAAAATTGTGTATATTTTTTATGTCGTGCATCGGTGTCCCGCCAATACGTTTGTATACTCCGCTCGCGGTCCCCACTCGGTGAAACGGCGAGCCTAATCTCTCCCCCCTTCTCTCAACTCAGGACCACAGCTTTCAGCACTTATGTCCGTGGAGTTTCTGTAACTCGCCCACCCCCGGTCCTCCCCATATTTGTCGCGGTTCGTGCTCTGTACCAGACTCCTACTGAAATATAAAACAAAATTAAACGAGATATATTCCAGTTGTTTTTTGTGTGCATTCATTGGGAATGGGATTAAGACTAAAACGTCACTAACCTTGAGCACGTGGTATATTCAAAGGCAGCTGAAACCAGAATTCAAAGCCCCAGACTCTCAAAGTGGTGTCAGCTCAGTCCTCTAACCCTTGAGCCATTAAGATTCATTATTAT